ACTTCTTTGACCTTAAACCCCCTCTGGAAATCAATAAATGCTCTGTGTGGTCTGTGGTGGGGGTTGACTGTCCCTCGATCAGTGACAGCCTCCACCCGGCTCCCAGCTTTTGGATCTATTTCTGCCTCTTGTCTCTTTCTTTCTTTTATTTCTTAGTCCCCAGCTCCTCCACTCAGGAACTTGACCTTCTCCCTTTCCGTGCGGGACGCGGAAAAAGGAGAAGAACCCACCGCGAACGTACAAACCTGGTCCTTCTAAGACAGACCCCGGCCCCCGCCCCCTTGCTGTGTGACTTTGGAGAGTCTTCTTTTGAAGTTCTCTGTGTCTATAAGACCTGGATAATTATGCCGTCTCCCAGCTGGTTGCGATTGTAGGAATTAATTAGTTCAGGCTGGAAAGGTCTTTGATAACGCTAGGCGCTGACTGTTGTTCTGGCTACAGGTGCAGGAGGAGGCGATGCATCGTAGCACGTCTGTCGTTAGAAAGGCCTAGAAACTGCCGCGGTGCCAGCGCCCAGGCGTCCGGGAGACAATGCCCCGGGTCACCTGCTCCCGGGAAGAAGCCTCATTCCGCCCTCTGTCCTCCCGGCGAGGCTGCCGCGGGTCTGGGCCTGCCCGGTGGGCAGGGCCGTAGGAGGTTTGACTCGGGGCACAGCCGTCCGAGGCCGCTGTCTAAGCGAAGCGCCGACGTTCTTGGGTCTGTGATGATGCCTGTGGCTCTACGGGTCAAGGGAGTCAGTCAGTCCTTCCCCGGAAATACCTGGAAAATGCAGACGGCCTCTCGGTCTATACCATAGAGGGAGAGTTCCAACTAAACCTGCGTTCAGAGACGGACAACTTTGTTTTTTCTTCGCCCCCCAAAAAAACAGGTGTTTAAAATCACAAAGTGTTATCTGGAATGTAAATAGGTAAAATATATAAACACGGAGCTTTGTCAGAGTGGAGAGCTCTCCTGAACCCTGTCCCCCATGCCCAGGCCCCCCATTCCCAGGCCTCTGACCCTCCATGTAGCCTCCCTCCTACCCCAGTCTGCATCAGCTCCATGCCCACAGGGCCCTCTCAAAGGACCCTCCCTCTGAGCGGTTAGGAGCCCAGCTCCCAGGAGAGATCACAGTGCCAGGCAAGGGTTAGACAGTCAATCCGAGGCAGGTGTGCCCACTGTGACCCTCCAGGAGAGGATCATCTTCTAGGGAGCTGGGCCAGGAGGCACCCAGGGAAGAGCCCACGGGGAGCCCAGGCCTCGGCTGTTGCCTGCCCATTGGCGGGCTGTCCCCACAGGAAGGGCCCCGTGGCCTGCTCTGGGATGCCGCTTCACCTGCACCCCATGCAGGACATGGGCGCCCCTTCCCAGCCACTGCCACAGACTCCCAGACCTCACCAGGTCCCTGCTCAGAGGACAGGATGCGAGGCCCCTGCCTCCCCTCTGTCCTGCCCCAGCACCCCCCCTTCTCATCCCCTTCACCCCTCACACACTCTGTGCTCCAGAAGGTGCTGGGGGTGGAGCTTGTCCAGGGAGGCGGGGTCACTAATACTCGTAGACTGAGCACTGAAAAGAACACACTGGCTGGTGGACCCTGATGTCCAATCAGCTGATAGAAAGGAAAAGCATATTTGCCTAAGTAACTCCCTAAGGATGACACTTCAGGGGCACTTATTTTAGACTGGGGTCTTCCTGATATTTGTGGCTTCAGGTGGGGCAGCCGATCTCCCTCTTTTACATCCAAACTTCTCAGGTGACCTCCCTGTTCTCTCTCTGCTTTTACTTCCTGGCCTCCGGTTGTTCTCTGCCCTCGTCCATTGAAACCGACATAAGGATACATTCCATTATCACCAAATCCAAGGTTCTTTCATTGGGACTCTTCCTCGTCCCTCTTTTTATGGTATTTACATTTTCATGTCATTCCTGCCGGATTGTAAAACTGGTATACAGAGCTTTAAGTCACACTATACTGGTTTCACTGCCCTCCTACTTTTCTATAGAATCACAAATTTTTTTTAACCTTTAAAAGCTTTTCTTCTTTTGATCTCTTAATTGTATGAGTTCTTCAGGCTATTCCTTGAGCAAATAATACCATTCTTTATGCCTTCATCAAGTGTGATCTGCAGAACGCCATTCCTACAGGGCTGCATTAGAAAGCAAATGTTCAGAAACATTGGGGAAGGATTCTCACTGCACCTCCTAGAGACTATAAAACTGAATATTCTCTCCTGATCGTCCTTCCAGATGGAGTGATCACATGACGCAATGCTGGCCAAGAAGGCAGAGATGGAAGTCCGTTGACCCTTTGCCCTTCTTCCTGCCTTTTCCGTGGGCCGGAAGCAGGCACTGCAGTGGACACCTTGTGACTGTGAAGAAGGGTGCAGTGAGCTGCAGAGATTCTATCAGCTTCCACACTGCAGAGCCCTGATCCTGGGCAGCAGCCTCCCGCCTCCGGGGCTCTTGTTACATAAGAACAATCCCATGTGTTTGCATTTCCAAATCAGGTGACTTATGTCTCCCCACTGAACACACTTCTAACCAGACATAAAAATGCGGCATACTTCTGTCTCTCTTGGAACCTGGGAATGCACATTAGAATATTAAAGGACCCGAGAAAATATTCAAGAGAAATCTGTTGAATTTTGTTCCATGAATCATCTCCTAAACTCATTTGATTAAGGGGCCCATTTTGTTATTGTTTTGTGTTTTTTGTATCAAGGGGCCTTTTATTCTTGCGTTAGCTATTACTATCCCATAAGGCTACAGTTCCCTACATCCTTGATTTTCAAAGTGTGATCTCTAGAGCAGCAACTTCTGCTATCATCTGGAAATTTGTTAAAAGAAAAAAACAAAACAAAAAAACCAGAATCCTTAAAAAAATAAAATAAAAATAAAAATCCCCCAGAATCCTAGCCCTGCCCTCCCCAGAATCAGAACATGACATTAAAGGTTGAGAAGCACAACTTTGGGAATAAAGTTAGAGAATAAAGTAAAACTAACTTTAATATTTTTATGTGACCCATTATTTTGAGACATCTATTATTATTGTCCCTTCATGCCTACTTCACTGATAATTATAACTAGTTCTTATTGACTGCTTACTTTGTGCAAGACATTATCCTAAGTACTTGAGTAATTCTCACTCAACCTGAGATTAGTACCTGTGGCAGGTACTATTATAATCATCTTATAGATGAGATAGCTGAGGCTCAGAGAAGGTAAGTAGCCTCCCAAGGTCACACAGCTGCTCAGTGACAGAATCCTCGGTTTGAGGATGTAAGGATCACTAAGCGACACTGCCCACCAACCTTTTTTGTTTCCATGCACTTTCCAGCTTTGTGTGCTTTTTTACACAAGAGTTTCCTCCTGCCTGCAACAATCTCCCACATCCACCTAATTAAAAGATGTCAACTGAGCCCTCATTGGTTTTCTTAGTGGTTAGAGCATCGACCTTTGGGCTAAAGGGTCATAGATTTGATTCTGTTCAAGGACATGTGCCTCATTGCAGGCTCCATCCCGGCCCTGGTCAAGGCACATGTGGTGTGTCTCTCTCACATCAATGTTTCTGTGTCTCTACCCCTCCCTTCCATTTTCTCTAAAACATCAATGGGAAAATATACCCTCTGGTGAGGATTAACAACAATACAGATGTTAGCTGAAAAGTTTAGTTCTCCCAGGAAGCTTTTCTCATCCTCTCCCCCAAACCAGGGCAGGCCCCTGCTACCTGTACACATGTTGGAGGCCTCTGGTTATTTTTCCTTCATTCTTATCTGCTTTTAAAACTATATTTGACTCTACTAGAGGCCTGGTGCTCAAAATTCTTGCACTGGGGGGCAGGGGGAGTCCTTCAACCCAGCCTGTACCCTCTCATAGTCTGGGAGCCCTCAGGGGATATCCAACTGATGGTTTAGGCCCACTCCCCATGGAGAGGCTCCCACCATCACCACTGCACTGACCACCAGTGGGCAGCTCATGCATTGAGCATCTGCCTCGTGGTGGTCAGTGTGTGTCATAGCGACCAGTCATTCTGTCATTTGGTCTATTTGCATATTAGCCTTTTATTATATAGGATGGTTATTGTATATCTTACGAAAAACAACTAAGATTTATGTGGGCTTTTTCTGTATTCTCTGTACCTGATTCTTGTCGGCACTCAAATATTTGGAGGAATACCTTACCCTTAGTCTTGATTTCACTCTCACTTTGAAGGTTCTCTCTCTACCTCACCTGTCCACGTTCTAGTCAGAAGAACCTGTAGCAAGGAGGCCACATGTTTCATTTGGCCTCAGAAGGCTTGAGTGTGAGTCTTCGTTCCCTTACTTACTAGCTTTGTAACTTTGAGCAGTCACAGAACCTTAGATCCATACATTCTCAGCTCTGTTTATTGGGATAATATTACCTCATAAGGTTTCTGAAAGAAAAGTACAACCTATATAAACATCCTAAAAGTATAAGGTATTTTTCTAGTTATTAAGATCCTGGGTTGTGTTTATAAGATTTCTAGCTTTGTAATCAGAGACCTGTGTTCAAATCACTACTCAAAATATTCATCGTCCTTGCAGTTGATCTGGCAATCCATTGTTTGCTGTGTATATTCAACTGCATTCATACTTAATTTGGTATGTACTTAGGCTTGTGTTAGCTCTCAAGATGTGTATATTCAACCGCATTCATACTTAATTTGGTATGTACTTAGGCTTGTGTTAGCTCTCAAGATGGCATATATTTCATGCTTTTTATTTCTCTATGCTCTTTACTTTTTATATAACTCTTTTTAAATTTTGTATTCAACTCATCCTATCTTTTTTTTTACACAGGAACACAGTCAATATTAACATAATCTACATTTATTTGGTGAGTATTACATACAATTTCTGTACACTAAGTAACAAAGACAAGTGAGAATGAAAAGCAGTATGCAACAATGACCATCATCATCCATGTATATTGTTCAGAATTGTTATTTTTCAAATCACTTTACACCAACATGATTTGCAGAAGGAAAACCCCAGGGGGAACAATCAAACGATGTTTGAAATAAAGTCATTTGGCCTGATTTTCATAACCACGGATTTCAGAGAATACCACCAGCCATGCCAGGTGTGCCAGACAACCCCATTGTCCGTTGTGTTGCTATAGGGGCCCCGGTAGTATAAACCATTCAGGTTAGCAGAGTGACACCTAGTGGGAGAAAACATAAACACAGAACAATCAGACCAGAAAAACATTCCGGCACCGCTGTAGTCTTTTGCTAACAAATGATCAAAAACATCTTTATGAATTCTTCCATTTCAGACAAGGAAATATTTGTCAGTTTTCAGAAGCCAAGATATTCCTACAACAGATGGATTAAAAAAAAAAACTGGTGGATTTTTAGCACCATAACAAGTCTGAGGATCTGAGTCAGGACAGTTGGAGTGATAAAGAAGAGAGAGAAACATTGACCAGCTGCCTCCTGCACACCCCCCACTGGGGATGTGCCCGCAACCAAGGTACATGCCCTTGACTAGAATCGAACCCAAGACCCCTCAGTCCACAAACTGATGCTCTATCCACTGAGCCAAACACGTTTCGGCGCCTGACATCTTTTCATTGGTTATATCAATAAAGAAATACACAGCAGTTCATTTCATAACACTGCACATACTCTTAGTCCATGCCAGGATTTTATGGATATCAATATCAAGTGATATTGATAAAGAAGCATTTCTGTTATTAACAGCCTTTAAACAAACAAAAAAAAAAGAAAAAAAAAAAAAAAAAGTAAAACAAGCTAACAAAGGCCGAGCTTTGTGATCCTCGGCCTTGGCAAGCGTGGTGGTGGGTAACGCAGCGAGGTGGGCGGAGTGCTCTATCTACCACTGCTCCCCGTCCCCCTATAATTTGCACTGACACATTCATCCCTCTGCTGCCAAGACGCCACTTTCGTAATTCCAACTCTTTCCCTCCCCTTGTAAAAATCGCTAGCATATCAACATTTTAACCTCAAGGATAAGAAAACAAAGACTAAACCCACAATTTAAAATTTTCCCCAAAAAATAATAAAATAAAATAAAATAAAATTTTCCCAGCTGACAACCAGTAATTGTCAGATTCACTGAATTAATTTTTTACTCTAATACATTGCTCCAATCTGGGAAAAGTGGTTAGGTTATGATGCATTTTATTTTATTTTTTTAAATATAGTTTATTGATCTTTTACAGAGAGGAAGGGAGAGAGAGAGAGAAACATCAATGAGAGAGAAACATTGATCAACTGCCTCTTGCACACCCCCCTGGGGATGTGCCCACAACCGAGGTACACGCCCTTGACTGGAATCAAACCTGTGACCCTTCAGTCCGCAGACAAACATTCTATCCACTGAGCCAAACCAGTTTCGGCAGTTATCATGCATAGTAAAGGAAGAAGTCTTCCTTCTTCCTTTACTATCTATAAACTAAAGGCCTGGTACACGAATTCATACACAGGTGGGGTCTGGCTGGCCAGCCCTGATGAGGGCCAATGGGGGCTGGGCCAAGGGGGAAAGGTGTGGGGGAGGAGAGCCCATGGGCAGTTGGCCCCACCTCTGATCAGGGTGGGGGACCAATAGGGGGCCAGACTGGCCAGGGGGAGGAGCCATGAGGTTGTGGAGGGGGGTGCCAATCGGGTCCTGGATCAGGCCAGTTGACCACTGTAGTCATTCCGGTCATTCCATTGTTCCGGTCACTTGGCTTTTATATATCTAGACTTTGTCCCTGGCATGGACTAAGAGTATGTGCAGTGTTATGAAATGAACTGCTGTGTATTTCTTTATTGATATAACCAATGAAAAGATGTCAGGCACCGAAACATGTTTGGCTCAGTGGATAGAGCATCAGCTTGTGGACTGAGGGGTCTTGGGTTCGATTCTAATCAAGGGCATGTACCTTGGTTGCGTGTGGGCACATCCCCAGACGGGGGTGTGCAGGAGGCAACTGGTCAATGTTTCTCTCTCATCGATGTTTCTAGCTCTCTATCCCTCTCCCTTCCTCTCTGTGAAAAATCAATAAAATATATATATTTTTTAAAAAGATGTCAGCCAATAGGATGTAAAGAGAACATTCACAAAGAATAGTTCTAATATCTACGGAAAGCACCCAAATTATATGGTTTTCTTGAATTAAAAAAAAAAAAACAACCATATAATTTGCCCATAAATGCTAAGTGCTTGGTTTGGATCATTCACCCACTTGATAATTCACTCCTGCTGACAACTCTGAAAGTCATCCTAATATAAGTAGATGGAATTAATTGAAAAAGTACATTAAATTTGAAGTGTCAATAGTGTACTGTGTTTTTAAAACTGCATGGAGTCTGGCTGGTGTGCCTTAGTGGCTGAGGGTCCACAAAGGAACCAAGAGGTCACTGGTTCCATTCTGGTCAGGGCACATGACCTGGTTTCTGGCTCAATCCCCAGTAGGGGGCGTGAAGGAAGCAGCCAAACCATGATGTTTCTCTCTCATTGGTGTTTCTATCTCTTTCTCTCCCTTCCTCTCTCTGAAATCAATTTAAAAAATATTTTTAAAATATAAATAAATAAAAGAAAATCTATGTGACAGAAAAAAAGTAACAAGGAAGAAGAGGTTGATAAAGTTAGACTACAATAGTACATAGCAGGCATGGGAGAAGTAACACTAAACTTATGGAAATAATTGGCTTTTTCTCCAGCTTTTCTGATTCCCACCTGCACAGCCCTCTCATCTCCTCTGAGTCCAAGGATAATGCAGGTTCCTTGGGTGGCTAGCCACTGAATTGCCTTTGTGCTCCCTGAAGCCCTATTTTTAAAGTTAGGTAGATAATATATTTGCCCAGGCTCACATGTCTGCCAGCATCATTCAGACACAATACAAGCCGAACAACTGAGCAGACACATGGTTTTGATCTGATGCTAATATTAACCAATGTAATTTCAATGTCTGCATATGGAATTCTGTTCAAAAGTAAATATGAAGGGATGCTTGCAATTTTGTGAATTATAGTTAAGTTTTACATAACTTACAAGGAAGGGGGTGGGGGGAGGAGGAGAAAAGAGAAGGTGACCAAAGATGGTTTCTAAAAGAACAAGAAGATTGCTAGGGAAAGGACTGTCATTGCCTCTGAGTCTCTAAGTAGGAAAGATAAACTTTGTCTCTCTGACCCTTCTCACTGCTGTATGTGCTTCAGCTCCCTCACAGATGACCAAAAAGTAAATATATTCGAACTTTTAGCAAAGCAAAGTCCAGAGAGAATATTGCTTTACAACTACTTAGATTTAACTTGACCCTACCTACAACCCCTAGCCATACAATTCTAAAACCTCACAATAGTAGATGTTCCTAATGAGGACGCTCCTGGTTTTAGGAAAATTAACATACTATATCTCGCATACCTCCACTTTATATGGGAGGTGATCCTTAAATGCTTAAAAGTGCTTATATCATGCTGAAACCGGTTTGGCTCAGTGGATAGAGTGTCGGCCTGTAGACTGAAAAGTCCCTGGCTCAGTGGATAGAGTGTCGGCCTGTAGACTGAAAAGTCCCAGGTTTGATTCCGGTCAAGGGCATGTACTTTGGTTGCGGGCACATCCCCAGTAGGAGGTGTGCAAGAGGCAGCTGATCGATGATTCTCTCTCATCGATATTTCTAACTCTCTATCTCTCTCTCTTCCTCTCTGTAAAAAATCAATAAAATATATATATATATATATATATATATATTTTTAAAAGTGCGTACATCAAAAATGTGGAAAATGAGGATTATGAAACTTGTTCTTAATTGCATGGACAATCTGACATTTCAGAAACAATTATGCACAGTACTATAATGGAATGTTTAAATGTCCAGATATTGTGAGGTGGCCCTGCCTTCTGAAGAGAGAAGACGTTGAAAGCTGGTGTGCTGCCCAAAGGTTGAGCACATCAGCTCTGCAGACCAGGCCCATCAGCTTGCTTTAAGGATGACTGTATGAACTGTCCACGCCTGCCTTAAACACAGGGAGCTGTCCTGAAACCACTGTGGGTGGAGAAGGGTTAAAGGAATTGGGGGTATCTGGCCTAGGGAAGAGAAAATGTGGAGGAATACAGTGAGTGTCTTCTGAGCCAGAGCCTAAAGACCTACGTTGAAAAGGAATTACAATGACTTTGGAGCTATCTGAGGAAAACACTGGCAAAGTATAAGAAGGCAGATGTCCGGTTAATAAAAGCAACAACTTAATACAATCAGCAATGGAGCGAGCTTGCTGATTAAGTAACATTGCAGTGTTCCATCTGAGAGTGGAATTGGGTCTCAGGAATATGATAGAGGAAATTGCTGCAGTGGGAGGAGCTTGGGTTCAATGATTTAATGAAAGTCACAGTAATTGAAAAGTATTATTACACAGAAAAATTTACAACAATAACATGGCCACCTCCTATGAGGGGGAAGGTGAAGAACTACTTGGTTACTAAAAGGCCTGACATTTAAAAAAAAAAAAAAAATATATATATATATATAGATAGATAGATAGATATATATATATACACTTTCGTTTTCTTCATGCCTACTTTCTTCAATTTGTGGTCTGCTGTTCATGATAACAGAACCATAATTCAGGTTGCTAACAATTTTTTTAATTGATTTCAGAGAGGAATGGAGAGGGAGAGGGAGACAGAAACATCAATGATGAGAATCAATGATCAGCTGCCTCCTGCTTGCCTCATAATGGCGATCAAACCAGCAACCTGGGCATGTGCCCTTGACCATGACCTCTTCGTTCATAGGTCAAAGCTCAACCACTGAGACACACCAGTCAGGAACAAACATCCTTGTAAAAACAGTCATTTGGTTTATTTCTAAGACATATTTTCCTGCTTTGCTAACATTCACAATGAACGAATTCTCAAAAATACTTCACCGGTGAAGAATTCTAATAAAGATGATTACGTAATGGCAGTATTACAAAGAAGAACAACATGACCTCATGCAGATATAATTAATGCCCAACAGTGAGATACCATCCAGGCCATTGCACCTATGTTTATAACGCGTCAAACCTGTTAAACCACCAGCCGGACTGATCTTCCTCGGCACAGTTGCCTTCGTAGTTGTCATGATCTCTGTCCCATGTGCTGAACTTCATCCTTTGGTGACCGCCCCACCATTGCACCTCCGGGTGAGATCTCACTGCAAGCGAGTCTCCTGCTGTTCCAGAATATTCCCCGATATTCAATTCATAGGAATCCTGAAGGAACAGAGGCAATTTCTACTGTCAGTTGTGACTATTTAAAAAATAGGTTCATGTAACAAACAGAAGAATTCTGTTGGTATATGTATGTTTCCACTGACTTCGGGGTTCATCTTGTAAGTGTTACGCATTAATTGGTGGTATTTGTTATTTGAGAATGTTAGTACCTTTTCATCTCCAACTTTGAAATTTTGGTATTGGGCATAACGGCTATTTCTTTCAAAATCTCCAAGGTCGATTTTTAAAGTGTAGTCTCCTAGAAAAAGAAAATCATAGAGGTTTCTTTTTTAATGTATTAGATAACAATGACTTACTGAGGTTTAAAAAAATTCAGTCCTGCTCAGTGGACAGAGCGTTGGCCTAGTTTCTTTTTCCCTATATCTTAGCTTTAAACCACCACATTTTAGAAAGGGAATTATTGCCCAAAAGAGGCCATTGCTATCTGTGGATTAGCTCTATTGTCTATGATTCAGAGAGAAACATTTTAGTGTTGTTTTCATTGTATTTTCAATGAATATGATATTAGGCAAATCTTACCTTGTGTGGTTAATAAGTGAAGGTTTTTATTACCCAGCCAATATTCACCATTTTTTTGGACAAAATTTCCAAAGCCATTTTCATAGTCATTCCAGTTCCTACAAAATTTAAAGTGAAAGCTGATTTTAGCAAAATCCAAATAAACCTTTGCAGTACCCAAGGTGCCCACACCCCCTCGCTGCTGCTCTCACACCCAGTATTTCATTGATTTGTTAATTCACTTTCAGGATTCTTACTTAGAGAGAGTGAGAGTCTGTCTAATTAGTAGACTGTAGGACACGAGAAAAGGCCTCACTTATAAATCTCATATGTGCTACTCCAAATCAACCCTTATGTCTTAATCAGCACACCTGTTAAAGTTCTCACTGCCATCAGAGCGTCTCTGAATCACAGTCCATCCTCCTCCATCAGACATGTCACAGTAAACAGAGAATTCTGCTGAGCTCTGGAGAGGTTTGATCTTGTAAAATCCACTGAGCTTAGATCCATCATTGAAAATTTCTGAACAGTCTGTTTGCAAAACAAGCTAATGTAACATTTGTTATGTGTCTTTAAAAAATAAAATAAAATAAAGGGAGCCTCTGAATGAGATTACTCAATACTAATGGAGTCAGATAAACACATGACATAGATAATTAGCTTTTTAAAATTGCATCTTGTCCATTAGGAAAGCATTTCTTTTCTTAGTATTTAATTATCCCCTGACTCCCTGATATGATCATAAAAAATGGAGTGAAATAGGAATCTGCTTTTTCTTTTTAAATATATTTTATTTAAATATATTTGATTTAAAAATATTTTATTTAAATACAGAGAGAAAGGAAGAGGGATAGAGAGTCAGAAACATCGATGAAAAAGAAACATCGATCAGCTGCCTCCTGCACACCTCCCACTGGGGATGTGCCCGCAACCAAGGAATCGAACCTGGGACCCTACAATCTGCAGGCCGACGCTTTATCCACTGAGCCAAACAGGTTAGGGCGGAATCTGCTTTTTCATTTCTAATTTTTGTGGAACACAATTTTTTAAATAATGTGTGTTCAGTTGATTACATTTATTTAAGTGGAACTTACAGATTTATCAGGCAGAATAGTGGAACTTATCTCTCCTCTGAAGCTAAAATAAAAGGTAGAACTATAACACCAAACAAGTCATATAGGTTATCTTGACTTGGAGCATTGCAAACCATTCAGGAAATCTGGGAATGAACTCAAAATAATAATATTGTTTAAAATATGTTTTTATTGATTTTTAGAGAGAGGAAGGGAAAAGGACAGAAAGATAGAAACATTGATGAGAGAGGAACATCATGGATGGGGTTGCCTCCTGCACATCCCCCACTGGGGATCAAGCCCAAAACCTGGGCATGTGCCCTGACCAGGAATCAACTGTCGACCTCTCGATTCCTGGGTCGATGTTCAACCACTGAGCCACACTTGCGGGGATAAAATCTTAGATTCTTAAAACTTTCCAGTCTCATTAGATGTTTTACTAAATCACTGACATTTCTAACAGTCCATATATTCTTAGATATTTTTGCTGAAAACTCAAAGTTTCTGTTATTCTTATCTCAGCATTCTTTTTTTTTTTTTCTTTCTTTCTTTTTTTATTTTTTTATTTATTTATTTATTTTTAGCCAGGGTATTTCTTTGACCATTGGAGCAAAGATAGCTACCAGTTTGTCACTATAAAGTGATTCCTGTTTCTTAAACCACTTGAGGGTGAGACAAGTTAATACTATTGGGTCTCATTTAGGCCAATCTATGTAGATTTAAAGAATATGGCGAGCCCTAGCTGGTTTGGCTCAGTGGACAGAGCGTCGGCCTACAGACTGAAGGGTCCTGAGTTTGATTCCGGTCAAGGGCACATGCCTGGGTTGTGGGCTCAATCCCCAGTAGGGGGGTGCAGGAGACAACCAATCAATAATCCTCTCTCATCATTGATGTTTCTATCTCTCTCCCTCTCACTTACTCTCTAAAATCAATAAAAATATATATTTTAAAAAAAAATATGACAAATACAAACTAAGCTATGGTTTAGATGCCTGGGAATCTATGTTTTAAGGTGAAGTACTGGTATTGGTCACTATACAGAGATTGTTTCAAGAACACTCATTCACAGACTTTTGAATAAAGACTATACTATGACATCACTAACCTTCAAATTTTACCCTTACTATTTTGTTAATTTCCTAACTTTTTTTTAAAAAAAATTTTTATCTTCCTGATTGGATAATCCTGTCCTTTCAGCATACTTTTAAGTTTTTTCTTCATTTTCATTGTTTTGACAACAAACTGTCTACAATTCTGCTTCATTACTAACATATACTCCACTTTAAGTAGATTGAGTAGGCGACAGGAATCAGAAGAGAAAGGAAACAAAGAAACGTGGTCACTCTCTAAAGCCCTCCCCAAGTCGAAACCAATCACACACTATTGCTTTGGTGAGATGATCATCTTTGTAATGATTTAAGCTTTGTTCACATCTTTATTTTTGAGATTCAGAAACACAAGTGTTCTTGATACTGCTGAATTATAAAGAAATGTCCTGTAAATGATTACCTAAAATTAGTTCAATGTTCAAAAGCTTATGTCTTGTAGGCCACTTTTCATTAAAGAAGGCAGATTTTAACTTTCCTTGTTAAGAAAGCTTTTTGCTTACATTTAACCTCCTACCAAAATGCTGAATAGTAAAGTCTCATAGGTTCAGACTATTTTCCAGGCAAATATGGAAATAATTAGCTATAATGTTTGCATCTGGAAAACTTTGTGAATATGGAGTTTTCAGCCAACATTTCCTATTTGTTTTTATTTTATGCCAAGTGTTAGTTTGTTTGTGTGTGTGTGTTTTTTTGGGTTTTTTTAATTTCTTCTTCCCAGAGGAAAATGTCAACTTCAACTTAACATCCAGGGGAAAGCTTTCAAGCAGGGGGAAAATAACCAACACAGAACAACACCCAACATATAAATGGAGTGAGTGCTTGTAGCAAAATTAATTATATCAAATAAGATAGTCGCCTACCATGAGGACATGTGACTTCCATTAACAGGGTAGGGTTTTCAATATTAACTAAAACTGTAATTTTCAAAATGTTTTGAGTCATTCAACCCCCCTGGAGAATAGGCAGGAGGTCAGGGTTAAAGAGCTCTGTGTTCATGGGACTTAAAAAAAAAAGATTTTTTGATACTTACAATATATTAGAGTGAAGCCCAGGTGTCCTGCCCCATTTGACAAGCACTGCATTAAACTGGGCGAGGTGAATACTTCCTTTGACCATGCAAAAACAGACCATGTTGGAAGTCTGAATGTTTAAGCTTTTCATAAAGGGATATGACAACCTGCCAAATGGGTTTTTCCTCTTGTCCCAGCATGGAGGCTAAGCTTAAAGCCGAGAACTAAAGGCATTTAAAAAGGCCAGGAAGCCTTTGCCGGTTTTCCTCAATGGTTAGAGCACTGGCCGGTTGACAGAAAGGTCTCGGGTTTGATTCCTGGTTCCCAGTCAAGGGCATGTACCTCAGTTGCAGGTTTCCCAGCCCTGGTGGGGGCGCATGTGGGAGGCAACTAACTGATGCTCTCACTAGATGTTTCTCAATTACTGGGGATTGAGTCGCAACCTGGGCATGTACCCTGACCTGGAGTCAAACCGTGACCTCCTGGTTCATAGATCGGTACTCAACCACTGAGCCACACTGGCTGGGCTCCTCTCTCTTTCTTGCACCACTCTCATTTTTCTCTTTTCTCTAGTTTTGATCACGCACTTGAGGTTTTCATTACTACTTCCTCTAACCCCCTCCCTCAGTCCTGATCCCTTTTCTGATCTAGGGGCTAAAGACAGAGCAACAGGGTGACAGCAGCAAATTCAAGGGCATGTAGGAAGTTACATCAAATTTAAATAGCAGCCTTACCCAGGTTGGCTTAGTGGATAGAGCATCGGCCTGTGGATGGAAGGGTTCTGGGTTCGACTGCCGGTTAAGGGCACATTGCCTGGGTTGCAGGCTCAATCTCCAGTGTGGGGAGTGCAGGAGGCAGCCAATCCATGATTCTCTCTCATCATTGATGTTTCTATTTCTCTCTCCCTCTGAAATCAATAAAAATATATTTCTTAAAAGAAGAAAATAATTTTAATGGCAAGGACTTCGAATCCATCCTCCCATAGGAAATTAGATCGGAGAGAAATAGATACGATACATAAATCTGCTCATTTTTGTTGGGACCCCTTCTAGTTTATACACAGTTTCTGGTGTAACATAAATTTACCTTTGAAATGTTTTTTTTAAATGATAGCTATCCCGTGAGCACTTACTGTGTGGCAGGCACAATTCTAAATGCTTTCATTCATTTAATCCTCACAATAACCCTATAAACTGGCAGCTGTTACTATCCTCGTTTTACAGCTGAGAACATTGAGGCATGGAGGAGTTAAATAACTCGCCGGAGGACATGCTGCTCTCAGGGCTGCAATCCATTCTTCAAACAATGGGCAGGACAGCCCTCGTTTCAAAATAGACTGTTCATGTGTGTTTGGATGACTAAGAGCAGGGACATCCAGGGAGGGCAGATCCAGGCTGGTCCTTTAGGAAGATGCTCTGGCAACAAAGACCCTTCTAGGCTGTCTTCATTAGAGTCAGCTTCACCAACACATGCTAATTTTATGGGTTGCCTGTCTGGTTTCACAGTCCTTGGGAGTTCTGACTCAAGGCACTTCTAGTTACCTTTCTTATTTTTAAAAAATATATATTTTATTGATTTTTTTACAGAGAGGAAGGAAGAAGGATAAAGAGCTAAAAACATCGATCAGCCACCTCCTACACAACCCCTACTGGGGATGTGTCCGCAACCAAGGTACGCGCCCTTTGACCAGAATCAAACCCGGCACCTCTCAGTCCGCAGGCTGACGCTCTATCCACTGAGCCAAACTGGTTTTCAGCCAGTTACCTTTCTTTATAAGAGTGTTACCTTTCTGGGCCAGAAGCTGATATCTAAGGCAAGGCAAAACGCATTAACTTGCCATAATAAAATGCCATAGATTGGGAAGCTTAAACCATGGAAATGTATTTGCCCACAGTAGTGGGGCATGGAAGTTCAAGGTTAAGGTGTCCATATGTTTGGTTTCTTCTGAACCCTCTCTAATTGGCTAACAGATGTTTGCTTTCTTGTTCTGTCTTTCCGCGATCTTTCTCCTTGCACCCACATCCTTGGTCTCTCCCCGTGGGTCCAACTTTCCTCTTCTTAGAAGGACACCAGTCAGATTGAATGAGGGCCCATCCTAATGGCCTTGTTTTAACTTCATCACCTCTTCAAAGGCCCTGACTCCAAATATAGTCACATTCATGGTGCTGGGGGTTAGGGCTTCAATGTGAAGATTGGGAGGGAGGGGACAGAATTCAGCCTATGAGGCAGGGTCATCAATCAAATTGCCTTCTGACCATGCTGGTGATCCCCTTCTCTGTGAATCATTTCTGTCCTCCACAATGATCGGCCCAAATGGCCCAGTGAGATCTTACAACCATGGCTTGTGGACTTTCAAAGGTGCCTGGAGGAAATCAGGTGAGCAGTTTTCCGAAGGTAACAGTGATATGTTCAGTGCTGTGTTTCTAGGGGGAAATACTGGCCTCTTGAAAAGGGAAGTCACCAAACTATAGAATATAGACATAAAACAACTCTTTTATTTTCCTAAATAATTTTCATTCCTTTTCCTTTTCCAAACATTTATTCTGTAACCTTACTTATATCCTAAGTCACATCAGAGTTTCAGGAGAAAAAACTGTGTTAATGTACCAAGAAAAGAGACACAAATAAAAACAAAGCTCGCCCTGACCGGTTTTGTTCAGTGGATAGAGCATCCACCACAGACTGGAGTCCCCGGTTCAATTCCAGTCAAGGGCATGCACCTTGCAGGCTAGATCCCCAGTAGGGGGCGTAAAGGAGGCAGCTGATTGATGTTTGTAACTCCCTCTTTTCTTCTCTGTAAAATCAATAAAAATATTGATTTTACAAAGCTCAATTGCAAGATTTTGCAAATATAATCTGCCATTTGCAAACTGATATTTAAGCAATCTGTTGTCTTGATCTCTTATTAAACAATAGAAATCCTCGATATTGAGCATTGATATTAAATGTCCCCTGCAGAGATAACAGAGAAAATAGGATAAAATATGATGGAAGACACTTAAATTTGATATAATACTTTAGTTGCTGGTTACTGGAATAAAAAAGCTCGTTAGCAAAACCTGAAGTGATCAAATGATTAGCATCATCATTGCACGTGGGTTTAAATAAGTTATTGAAACACTAAAGAAAAATAGATTCTGACCTGCATATTGCCTCTTGCCTCCAAGGTCAATGACACTGCTCTCCTCTCCTTCATCCAGGAACTGGATTTCCTTCTCGTGCAAAAGCTGAGCGATCTTGACCTGTTGTTGTTTGACCCGGGTCTCAAGCAGGTGCACCTGGGCTCTGAGACGTGCCTGTTCCTGGAGACAATTCTCAAGAGCCTGCAAAGTATCGTGCATGTTGTCCTCATGGGAAATAAATGCTCCTGGTAAACTGGATAAATTACTGATCCAATAATATTCTGAAATTTCTATTTCAGAATATTATCCCAACCAGGAAGTCATTAAAACTTCTGATACTATTAGTTATTTGAAGGATAAGAAGTCATGGTTTTAACCATATGGCTTGTCTCAGTTTTGGTCCTTATAAGGGAATTCCTTGTATCACATGATTTAACAACATAAATTGATGAACAGAAACAGACCTGGAGACAGAGAAGCAGCAATCAGACTGTCAGGCCTCAGAGGGAAGGTAGGGGAGGGTGGGGATAAAGGGAAGAGAGATCAACCAAAGGACTTGTGTGCATTCATATAAACCTAACCAGAGGTCATGGACAACAGGTGGTGGGCATACACATAGGGAGGGGTTTGGGATGGGAATGGGGGGATGAGGACAATTATGTAACACCATAATCAATAAAGAAAATTTTTTAAAAGGCATCCAAATGTGGAAGGAAAAAAAAGCCATGGTTTATGCCAATGTGCTTGAACTAAAAAATGTTATAAAATAATCTGATGATTACGCTAAGAATTTTAGAGTCACTGTCTCATTTGACCCTCATAACTATTCCATGATGTGGGGATGGGTTCGATCCTGATGAGGAAACTTGCTCAGGAATTCCCAGTGGGCAAGAGAAGTCAAGATTTAAACCCAGCTCAAGGTTTTTATTCTCGATCTCTACATGACACTAAGTGCCTCTTATCAGTGAAATGAACCAGGCTTGTGAATGACCTTTCGATATTAACACATTGCGCACCAGTAGTTTTATTGCTAGCTTTACCTAGAGGCCAGGTAAGTTTCTGTTGAACAGGTACAAAAAAACGTTGTAAGAAGATTCATACTTTAAAAATACATTAGCTTATAAGAACATGTAATAAATAACTGCAAAATGCAATGGGTATTTAATATTGAGGCGTGCCTTTAACATTTATGTAAAACACTGGGTGATATGAAAACATGAGAATGCTCGTGATGCGCCCGAAATGTTTAATATGTTTTAAAATTATCATTGAACATTTATGCTCTTAGACATATGGTCACCTTTGTTAAAAATGCTTACTTTAGACTCTCGTATCCTTGAACACCTCACCCATTTACCTGTTGCTGAACATTCTACTGGGTTCACTTTAACTTTTTGCTTACTTATCGTTTTTTCCTCAGTCACTTTAAGAATGCATGGGGGGGGAGCCTGAGCCTTCCAGTTAAGTCATTTATCTACTCTAAAAAGTCAAGTAACCCGCCAAGACCGGTTTGGCTCAATGGATAGAGTGTCGGCTTGGGGACTGAAAGGTCCTGGGTTCGATTCCACTCAAGGGCATGTACCTTGGTTGCAGGCACATCCCCACTAGGGGGTGTGCAAGAGGCAGCTGATCGATGACTCTCTCTCATCGATGTTTCTAGCTCTCTATCTCTCTCCCTTCCTCTCTGTACAAAATCAATAAAATATATTTTTTAAATAAAAAAATAAAAAAATAATAAAAAAATAATAAAAAGTCAAGTAACCCAAGCATATTGACTGTGAGACAGTTGATTAGCTTCTTTCTAAAGTGACATCTGACTGAGCAAATTCTCAAAAGAGAAAGCCAGTGTGCTGGGTGGATGGGGAAGGAGGCTGGCAGAGCTGGGTCTCCCGGGAAGAGGAACTGAGGCCAGGAAGCTTCAATAAAGCTCATGAGTGTTCAATGTGGGAGTCCTGCTAAGGGGGAGTGGGGGGGGGGGGGGGGAAGAAAAAAAAGAGGACAAAAGACCATTATTTCCCCCCATGTTTACCTTGACTTCTCTATTTGTAGCCAATGTCATGATCTCCTGTGGTACAAGCCAATGTTTACTTCTGAGAAATTACCAATTTTAATGCGTAAGATGCTTCACACTTCTTTTGTATACATTATTTTCTCAAGCAGGCATTTGGTTGAAGTCTGATATATTTCCCAATTTATATTTGCATCACTTCCTGTCCCTGTCTTTATGGGCTATCTTGTATTCATGCCATACAAACAAGGCCCTCCTGCGTTCCAGGCCCTCTGCCGGGTGGGACTATTTCTAATTTGTTCCTGGTTTATTCTCTTTGATTTATCCTCGTAGCCCCCTGAGTCCCACCCGTCTAAAAAAAAATGAACAGCATAGACTTTTGATGGTGTCTGGAATCCCGTGTGGCTTTTAATAGTGGAAAATTGTTTGTGATCTTGTTAAATGCAGTAGACTATGTGCAACTTAAAAAAGCAGAAGGGATTACAGGACAAGTTTGTTCAATCTGTTCAATGTTCCTGAGACCGGACATACAGTGTTAGTAAGCTTATTTAACACCTAGGAGCTTTCTTTCTCCCAGGCCTGTGAGTAAAAGAGAATTGTCACCGTTTTGCTCACGAATGGAGGAAGGCATGAGTTCATGGTAATTATTTCCAAATAATCGGCCTAACTTATACTAACAATGTTCAATAGCAGAAAGCTCAGGGTCCATTTTAATGGACAGTTTTAAATTCCTAATGTTAGGTAATCACCCAAATAACCCCAGTAGTTAAAAAAGAGTTTACTGATTTGTTGTCAACACTGATTTTTTACTTCAAAACGTTTTTAAACACGTGGTAAGTACCTACTATGTGGCAGGTGCTGCCACAAACCTTCATCTCCACCCCTTAATTAAGTTCTTCAGCGTCACAACTTACTATAGATTTTCTGCAAAATAAAATGACATGCAGGTCAAAGCAGGTGTTACAGACACAACAACAGTCTTTTTTTTTTTTTTTTTTTTTTTTTTTTTTTTTTTAATCACTCTTTATTGTTCATATTATTACAAAGGTTCCTCATTTCTTCCCCCCTCCACCAGGTTCCCACCCCACCCTCTGTCCCCCCCCCCTATCCCCCATTGTCCTCATCCATAGGTGCAGTTTATGTTCAGTCTCTTCTTCCCTCAATTTCCCCAATAGTAAATCCCTTTTCAGATAGTAAATCAGTTACTTAGCATTTTCTCATATCAATAATACCTCCACATGCCCAATGATACACTTCACACAAAAGACATTTCCCACTAGGTCAACCAGCCTCATCCAGGCCCCACCCAAGGCACTCACAGATCAACACCCCAGTCCTAAACTAACTCAACATATCCAGATCTAAGCCTTCATCACTTGATTCAGCAGACCCTCAAGTTCCCACGAAAGTTTCCAGCCATGTCTGAGAAGCAGCCGTGGGGCAGGGGCAGGCAAGGAGCGAGCTGTTCTGGGCCTGGCTGCTCAGGGCCTGGCCTCTGTTGCTCTGGTTCATTCCACAACCAGCTGCTCCGGGTCTGGTCACTGCCGCTCCCGACCTAGTTGCTCTGGACTTGGCTGCTGCTGCTCCGGACCTGGCCGCTCCCAGCCTGGCAGCCGCTGCTCCGGGCCTGGCCGCACCCAACCCGCCTGCTCCCCCGGGACTGGCCCCTCCCAGCCTGGCAGCCGCTGCTCCGGGCCTGGCCGCACCCGACCCGACTGCTCCCCCGGGCCTGGCCGCTCCCAGCCTGGCAGCCGCTGCTCCGGGCCTGGCCGCACCAGCCCCGCCTGCTCCCCCGGGCCTGGCCGCTCCCAGCCTGGCAGCCGCTGCTCCGGGCCTGGCCGCACCAGCCCCGCCTGCTCCCCCGGGCCTGGCCGCTCCCAGCCTGGCAGCCGCTGCTCCGGGCCTGGCCGCACCAGCCCCGCCTGCTCCCCCGGGCCTGGCCGCTCCCAGCCTGGCAGCCGCTGCTCCGGGCCTGGCCGCACCAGCCCCGCCTGCTCCCCCGGGCCTGGCCGCTCCCAGCCTGGCAGCCGCTGCTCCGGGCCTGGCCGCACCAGCCCCGCCTGCTCCCCCGGGCCTGGCCGCTCCCAGCCTGGCAGCCGCTGCTCCGGGCCTGGCCGCACCCGACCCGGCTGCTCCCCCGGGCCTGGCCGCTCCCAGCCTGGCAGCCGCTGCTCCGGGCCTGGCCGCACCCGACCCGCCTGCTCCCCCGGGCCTGGCCGCTCCCAGCCTGGCAGCCGCTGCTCCGGGCCTGGCCGCACCAGCCCCGCCTGCTCCCCCGGGCCTGGCCGCTCCCAGCCTGGCAGCCGCTGCTCCGGGCCTGGCCGCACCAGCCCCGCCTGCTCCCCCGGGCCTGGCCGCTCCCAGCCTGGCAGCCGCTGCTCCGGGCCTGGCCGCACCAGCCCCGCCTGCTCCCCCGGGCCTGGCCGCTCCCAGCCTGGCAGCCGCTGCTCCGGGCCTGGCCGCACCCGACCCGGCTGCTCCCCCGGGCCTGGCCGCTCCCAGCCTGGCAGCCGCTGCTCCGGGCCTGGCCGCACCCGACCCGCCTGCTCCCCCGGGCCTGGCCGCTCCCAGCCTGGCAGCCGCTGCTCCGGGCCTGGCCGCACCAGCCCCGCCTGCTCCCCCGGGCCTGGCCGCTCCCAGCCTGGCAGCCGCTGCTCCGGGCCTGGCCGCTCCCAGCCTGGCAGCCGCTGCTCCGGGCCTGGCCGCACCCGACCCGGCTGCTCCCCCGGGCCTGGCCGCTCCCAGCCTGGCAGCCGCTGCTCCGGGCCTGGCCGCACCCGACCCGCCTGCTCCCCCGGGCCTGGCCGCTCCAAGCCTGGCAGCCGCTGCTCCGGGCCTGGCCGCACCCGACCCGGCTGCTCTGGGCCCGGCTGCCCCGGGCCCGGCCGCTCCGAGCCTGGCCACTCCCAACCTGGATGCTCTGGGCTTGGCTACTGCTGTTCTGGGTCTGGCTGCTCCCACCCCGGCTGCTCTGGGCCCGGCTTCTTCGGGCCCGGCCACTCCGGGTCTGGGTGTTCCTGGACTGGCCACCCTGGGCTTGGCCGCCTCCGCCTCATGCCTGGCTGCCACTGCCCCAGGTCTGGCTACTCCAGTGCTGGCTGTTGATGCTCTGGTTCTGGCTGCTGTTGTTCTGGGGCCTGGCCGTTGCTGCTCCAGGTCTGGCTGCCACTGCCTTGTGCCTGGCCACTCTATGCCTGGCCGTCGCTGTTCCAACATTCTGTCCTTTTTTTTTCTTTTTAAAACGCATTTATGTTGCAATGTTGGCTGGTGAGTTGAGTTCTGACTTAGTCTTTGATTTTTACAAGAACTTCTTTGTATTCTTTCTTAAGTAATTTTACTATTTTTTGCTCTCACTTGATTTCTTCACATTGAGAACTTCTTTGGTTTCTTCCTCCTTTTCCTGGGAGCTCAGCAGGTTGGCCTGTGGCACCCCTTTGTTCTCCGCGGGCTCCTGTGCTGCTTCAGCCTGTTGCCGGGACAGCACCGCCCAGGAAGCAGCCCCAGGCCTTGGCTCCATTGCCCGAGCTCAGTGGTCAAAGGCTCAGGGGCACCCACGCCCCCAGGAGCCCCGTGGCCCGCCTCCTTGCTGGTGCCCGGTTGGCTGGAGTCCGGCAGGGGCTTCCGCTCCCCTCCGCGTTCCCCCAGCCTAGAGATTTTTTTTTCTCCTTCCCGCTAGGGAAGTCCAGCATCAGAGTCAACAGACTGTCCTCTGCGCGCAGTTTGCGCGAGTCCCACAGACTGTCCTCTGCGCGCAGTTTGCGCGAGTCCCACAGACTGTCCTCTGCGCGCAGTTTGCGCGAGTCCCAGGGGCCTGGCCTTTCGCTGCTCTCCCCGGTCTCCACCTCACAGCCCCGTCTCCCTCTGCCTGAGCCTGGGTCCCCAGGGATTGGCCCAGAACTGGGGTTCGGAGCAGTCCGGACTGAGGCTCAGCGTCGCCGGAGGCCTTGTTTCTTCCCGCTAGGGTAACCCAGCCTCAGAGTCAACATTCAGTCCTCTGCGCGCATTGCCCGCGACTCCCGGGGCCCTGTCTTTCGCCGTTTTTCCGCCTCACGGCCCTGTCTCCTCCCGCCGGAGCCTGGGTCCCCAGGGTCTGGCCCATAACTGGGGCTCAGCGCTGCCGGTTCGGGGGGGGGGGCTCAGCGCTGCCGGTTCGGGGGTTCAGCCCAGGCTGGGGGTTTTATTTCCTTCCTGCTAGGGAAGGAAAGGCGGCTCCCCGCCCTCTCCTCCTCTCCGGCTGCGACCTCTCCGTGCGCGCGTGCGGGCGGGCAGGCGCGCGCAGCATGTCTCCGTACCTTAGGCTTTTTTTCAGCTCCTCTGATTTTCTTTCTGGTTTTCTCTTTCCTTCTTGTTGTAGAAATTTCAGTCAGTCGACTACCTGTAGCTCTGGGCAGTGTCCACTCTACATTTTAGTTGTATTCCATTGAAATTGTTGTGTGCTGCCGCGGCTAGATGTCTACCCGAGCAGCCATCTTGGATCCTCCCCAACAACAGTCTTTCTATGAGCTTACCCAGCTGGCCTTGCCGGTTACCAGAGCAGTGGTAACAAGGATGAAACTGAACATCTTCGCCATTTTCCCCATGGAAAGGACTGCAAGAACAAGAAGACTTTCATAAAGTTATTGTCTGTGAAGTTTTCATGGGGGCAGGGTTAGGGTCAGACTCAAGGCCATCCAGGAGGTCAGATGCAGTTCCAGGTCACCTGAGTACTGCCGAGGAAATTCTCTTGGACTTTGCCTGGCTTCCCCCAGAGACAGATCCTGGTCCAGTACCTTTAATAGAATCGAACCTGTTCAACTGCAAATATAGAGGAGGGACTCTGGATCTGCGGGTGGTCTGAACACGCTGCTTCTACACTGGTGCTGAAAGGGCAGAGGTTCTGTTAGCACAACACGAAGGGTCTAGATGTTCGCTGAAATGCTTCCTGGTGTGTGGCCTCAAGCAATTTACTACAAAGCTTTTTATCTCTAAAACAAGAGGCCTGGTGCATGAAATTTGTGCATGGGTACGGTCCCTAAGCGATCAGGACCATCTTCCCCAGCTGCTGGCAGCCTGCTCCACCCCCTGCCTCCACCCACTCCCAGTTCCACATTTGCCATTGGGCAATTAGAGCCTGACAGTGGGGGGAGAAGAGGGAGCTGAGAAGTTGGCTGTTCCTGCCCACTCACTGGCCCTGCCCCCACCATGGGTTGCCCTCTGTGTATGGGGTTAACGGTGGGGCGGGGGCCTTGGCCTGGTGCTGACCCCATTTCCCACCACCCACCCCTGGTTCCGCATTCGCCATTGGGCAATGGGAGCCTGCCTGCGGGGAAAGAAACTGAGAGGTGGTCAGTGCGCCTCATAGTGACAGGTCAAGGGTCATTCTGGTCATTCTGCTGTTAGGGTCAATTTGCATATTACCCTTTTATTATATAGGATGGAGATCCCAATTCCTACTTTACAGGACTGCGGCAATTTTGATGTGAGATTTTAAGATACCCTGGCATATGATAAGTGCAAAATGAATAGTAACTCATTTTGTATATGGAAGACAGCTTTTATTTTTTAAAAGAAGAAGGAAAAAGTTACAACAAATAGAAGGTGATGTACATCGTTTGCCTTCATGTCTAAGTGTTTAGGCAAACTCCCAAGGTAATATAAAATCTTTAGGCCCTATTGGAAATTGTGGAGGAGAAATTTTGCCCATCCTCAGATTAACTTCTGTATGCTGCCAGTGGTGAGTTTTTGTTTTTTTTTAAATATGTTATTATTGATTTTTAGAGAGAGAGAGGGAGTGAGAGGGAGACAGAGAAATCTCAATGTGATAGCAGAACATTGATCTGCTGCTTCCTGCTTGCCTCCCACTGGGGATCAATCCTGCAGGAGAGGAGACAGCCTGACCAGGAATTGAACTTGCAATCCTTTGTTCTTGGGATAACACCAACCAACTGGTGCTGTCATGGGGTAGACATAGATCCTCTACGCTTATTTTTGGTCAGGGGGAAAACAATGGGCTAAGTGCATTTTTGAAAGTAAGTAGAAGAGCTGTAAAATAAAGAGCCACGCCTACCAGGGAAGTAGTGAGTTTTTATACATATTAGAAGCTATCCTCAGAAGGATAGAAATATCTGTATTAGCTTCAAATAAGTTGTAAACATATGGTTTCTGTTAAAATAAAAAAAAAACTGAAATCAACTGACATTTGTTAGCCAATTTTTTTTCTTATATTATAGAAGCTATGATCACTAGGCCCTTTTAATGTGTCTCTGTCTCCATTTTTTATTAATATGTAAATGGTTCCTAAACTTGGCTATCCATTAGGGTCTCTCAGGCAGCTTTTACATAATCATGTATAAGATGGCAGCCATTCCTTGGAATTTTTTAGACTCCTCTCTGAGTGCAACGTTTGGCAAAGATTGGGAAACAATCGCTTAAGGACTGAATAGACAATACATGTTTAGTCTACGTTAATAAAGTAGGTAGTTCTTAGTCCTCCTGGGGCCAAACAAAATACTTACAGAATGGGAGAGGCATTGCTTATATCCAGTCACAAACAGCATGCATGACCTTCTTAGGAAGCATTGTAAAATACAATATGGATTTTTAGAATATGTGAAATGTGTGCATTACAGAGAGTAAGAAAGATTCTGCTAGATATAACTGTATAACCTTACTTCACATATGATTTCTTCTGGCTGACATTTTTATAACTGTGTATCTAGGACTGTGCTATGCATTTTATACACCTCAGAATTAATCTTCAAATAACTATACAAGGCAAGTACTGTTATCCTCATCAAATAAATTGATTATAGACCAGAGAGGTTAAGACACTTCCCTAAGCTCACATAGCTGGCGTATGGAGGACCAAGCAATTGAGCTTTCCACCTTGAAGGCTTGTCCCCAATATGCACTCTACTTGGCCTCCCTCCCTACATACATGCAGCATGGGGCAAAAGTAGACTTACATGTGTGAGTACCTGAAACACAGAGTTTATTCTTGTATTATCATTTATTAACTAGAGGCCCGGTGCATGAAATTTGTGCAAGGAGAGGCCTTCCTTCCCCCGACTGCTGGCACCGGCTTCCCTCTGGTACCTGGGACCTGGGCTTCCCTCGCAGCCCGGCTTTGTCCAGACGGTTGTCCAGAAGGACGTCCAGTCTAATTAGCATATTACACTTTTATTGTTATAGATTATTGTCTTATTTTCCATACATTCTGAATATCCCTGCTGTCTACAGGGACAGAGGCTGCAGCGAGGAGTAGAGGCCCTCTTACTTGGCCTTCTCCACTGAACATCCCTCTCACTCCTGAACGCGGCTGTGACTTATTTGCTCTTGAGCCACATGCTTCTTTAAAGGGGCATTAGGCCCACTTGGCGGGAGAGGAGACAGCTGTGCCAAAGCCAAAGCGGTCCTAGGGAATGGTAGCATCAGCAAGCAGTTGCCGATGGCCTGCTATCTGCGCAGGACCATGCTAAACGCTGCGAGAGAACAAAACAGCTGCCTCAGCAAAGCGATGCTTTGAGGAAAAGACAGAAAATAAATATTAAAACGGAAATTAAAGACAATATAAATTATGAGGACACGACACCATCTGTAATTAAATGTAAAAACTAAACTAGACCACCCCTCAAGAAAAAATTAATAACTTCCCCCGCTGTGATCATGTACCAATATAGCATTTATTCACTCAGCAAACAGGGTATGAGTGCCTGCTGTGCTCTAGGCACCGTGCCAGGTAACGGAAATCCTCATTTAGTCAGCTTTTCACGTCTTCCTCCAACTGCTTCCCTTTATCCAAGCTATTTTGCTTAGAGTGGGCTTTTTGAGGCAAAGGCTTGCTAATTGTTGTCTTCCCCAGCATCTACCCTACGTTGGCAACTCAGATGAAAGTGAAGTCATCGCCTCTGCAGAAAATATTCCCCAGGAGGGAAAATGTCATTTCCTTGCCATACATCTGCAGTCTGTTTATTCTGATGTACTTCCTCCTCTGCCCTTATTTTGGTCAAGGAGAAAACAATGGGCTAAGTGTATTTTTGAAAGTAAGGGTTAAGGAGGAGGTAGGCACTTTTAGTTGGATTGAACTCATGACTTTATGTTTTCTTTCTCACAAAACCCTACTCCAGAGCCCCCTTGAATCTTCTGAGTCTCTTTCTTTAGTGCCTAGTTGTTGCTTTCTTAATATATTAAATCGAACGATACGAAATGACATATGTTTGAGCATTTTGACCTACAAAATTGGAAATTTTGTATGATTTAAATTAATACATACTGGTTAGATGGAAAAAAACACACTTGAAATCATTGTAGCCTTTTTGCCAGAAGGCATAAGTTAAAAACAAAATATTTGCAGTTTATATAATGAAAGAAAATAATTTAGTGACAGCCTGTTTTTATATGAATGCTGCCTCCATGTGAATCCTATATAATAAAAGGCTAACATGCAAGTTAACCATCACTCTGTCACAAAGATGGCAGCGCCCAGTCCTTAGCCCTGCCAGAGTCCCCCAGTCCCGGGGAAGGGGAGGGGGAGAGGGGTGGTCGCTGAGCAGGCAGCATGAGCAGCCTGGTGGAATGCTTGCTTTGTCGCCACGGCAACGAGGCAAGCAATCAGTGCCCAGCCATGGATGGGCCTCTGGGACACAGAGAGCCTCTGGGCAGTGGATGCGGAGCGGCCAGGCCCCTCAGAGAGCTACTGGAGCATGAATTCGTATGCAGGACTACTAGGACATTAATATAAATCAATTAAAATATATTTAAAAATTGCTAACACACAGTCAACACATGGAATCTTATAGTTCTGCCATGACTCAATCCTCTGCATGTCTACAGAAAAGAAACTACAGCTTTAAAAAATATATTTTTATATCTATGTCTGAGTCTGATTCTTGCATAAGTAACAGTGTTGAAAGTGCTCTGGGAACTAGGAAACTATATAACATGTGTTCACATTGCTGTACCTTACATTTGCTATAAAATAAAAGGCCAAAGAAATGCTTTGGAAGGTCTCTGCATCTTGGTGTCCTGAAATTCCTATCTCGCATTAAGATAATCAAATCTGATTTTTCCCAGAGAAAGGAGGCACCTCTTAATCTGTAGACCCTTAAACAATAAGGCATTTCAAAATGTCATGTACATCTTAATAGTCATTATGTTAATTTGACCACCTTTAGAATAGTTCCTGAGGCTATCTTAAGTCTGCAGTGCCCTCATTTCTTTCTTGTTACTTTCTTTCATTCTTTTTAAAAAATCTCATTTCTAATTCTAACCACATTCTACAATATTGAAGAAATGTTTAGGTATTAAGAAACTTGCTTTGAAAACCTGGTCTTTATCATTCATCAGTGTAGACCATTATTATTCTGCAAATCTGGCTTGTGGTAAAGTTATATCAGATTATTTAGTTCTTTACTATGCAACTAGTTGTATTTCTTTTACAATATTTTTGCTTTGGGCTACTTCAAAAGTTTTCATTTTTGTAAAATAGTTTAAATTGGCTATTCTTTGATGTACTGTATTATTTGGTAGAGTAAACTAGTCTAAGTCTATAAAGTCTAATTTCTTACCCACTAAAATTTTTTAAATTAGTTGAATATAGTGG